AGACAAATGATAAAATGATGATTTGATAATGGTTAGTCATCGAACTTCCTCTTAATATAGAGCCAAAATAAGCTTATCAAATAAGAACGGCCTAGTTTCTAATCTTAATACCCGCGAAAAAAGTTCTAAAACAAAAAAAACTAAAATTTTGGAGTGGTAACCTTCTGCTAACGAAATCTCAGCACGTTCATTATCACGGCCACCGGATGAACGCTCGGGCCTTCAACGTGGACAGATTATGGACGTTAAGTTTCAAGTTTCGACACATCTATAACATTCTTCTTCTTTATATTTATATTTATATACATAATAGTAACACAAATATAAGTGTGAGGGGACACTCTTGATGGTTTGACCAAAAGAATATACTAAACAGAAGGTCTTTTGTGCTCCAAATGAATGCCACCATTATTTTGGCTCCTTCCTCACGCTGTTACGCATTGCTGTTTTTTGTTTTCATGATTAAATATCAAATATTAAATATTTTATCGCCTACTGTTGTGAAAATATAGTTTTGTTGTCACACTCTCATTAATCATTCGAAATATCGATTTTAGTACAAAAATAGTTTACTGTGTGTCTATACCGTTTACCATTGATTATAATGATACCGAAAATGTCAGATACCTGACAATTTATTAAGAAGATGTAGTTTGTTGATAGATTGTTGAAGAAATAAAAATGGACCACAAAAGCGCATCAAATTTTTTCATCCGTTTTTATTTTTTTTTTTTTCATAACAAATTTTTTTTATTTAATCAGAAAATTGTTCTTTTTTTTTTAGAAAAGTTGAACATTTTTTTTCAAAATTGAGTTTTTTTTAAGTAAATAAAGAATTATGGCAATTTTAAAAAATCGAAAAATTGACATCAAAAATAAATTTTAGCAAAAATTCTTAAATTTTTAAATTCTGCAAAATAAATTTTGACTTTAGACCAACAATTTAAATGTGATGCATTTATTTTCCACACTGATAGAAGGTTTATTTTTGTATTTAAAAAGATTTGTTAATATTTAATAAATGATTTACTAGAGGATATAGGTCCTTAACAAATATTTATTAACAGTTAATGAATCATTTATTAGCAGCTATTTTTTTGTGCTAACCAAATATTTATTACTATTTAATAAACGATTTATTAACATATAAAAAATGATTTATTAACATCTATAAAATGATTTATTAATATTTAATAAATCATTTATTAATATTTATACACTGGATTATTAATATTTAAAAAATTCCTCAAAAACGTGTTTCAATGTTTTATTTTAATTGTAAAAATTACAAAGAATTAGATATTTAATGAAGTAAATGAAAAATGAAATTAAAGGATACAAATAATAAAGAGAGAAATTACAATTAGAAGTTTGCAAGAGAAGTATTAGATGAGTTTACAATTAATTTTTTTATTGCAACCATACATTTAAAATCAAAGTAACTACAGTAAAATAATTGATTATTGATAAAAATTTTTTTAATTAATTGACAACTTTTCAAGATTAGTATATATATTTTACAACTTGACCAAATTTTACAACATGTTTAAATCCTTCTGCTTTGATAAATTTTTTACATAAATCAAGTTTTAATTTTATCGCTAGAATAAATAAAATATTTACAACTACGCGTTAAGTACAGCCATCTACCAACACTGACCACCAACAAAATATTTGTTAACTATTAACAGATCTTATTTGATGGAAATAAATACTTTTTTCAATACATTAAAGCTTCTTAATAGTTACAAAAATTTTGTTCTCATAAAAAATAGATTTAGTTAATATTAACGAATATTGTTAATAGTAAAAAATTATTTTTTTGTAACTCCTGCTTCCAAAGCTCAACATTCGAGCCTTGCTCAGCAAACGCAAAGTTGCGTATTCTCGTGATGGTTGCATATACTATAGTAGCGTGCGGGAAAGTAGGCGAAGTCAAACTTTCCAACTGCTTGACCGTGCGGGAATGAAAATTAACTACAATAAATGTATAAGATTCAAAGAATGTATATGTCCGCCACTACCACTACAAATCAAACTATCAAGCATACTGAGACTAATTCTAGCGCCTGCGCATACCAAATAACCACACATGAATAGCAGCTTGTCGATCATATGTTCAACTCTGTGCAACTACTAACCATAACTGCGTGTATTATTTATATTATTTATAATTTTTTGGTAACTGATATAGTTCAGCTAATTACAATATTACTTTGTAAATAATAATTTCTCTCTGTTGAACTTTGAAAGCAGTCGTTACAAAAAATATTGTTCGATACATATGTCCCAACTGAGGCATTCACAGGGCTTAAGTTAATTGAGACACTCGCCAAAAGAAACGACACGTTTACAATGAGACCGAGTACGCTTACCCCCACTCGCCTAACGGCTCGTGGGGGTAATCTGCGTACTCGGCCCCATTGTAAACGCGCCGTTCCTTAGACTCGTGTCTCAATTTTTAAGCCCTGGGAATGCCTCACTTCGCACATATGTATCGAAAATATCTATTTCCAACCAAAAAAATATCTGAAAAAGATTTTAATAAATTGATTTATTAAATACAAACAAATCCTTCTATCAGTGCAACATGAAAAAACATATTTTAATATTTTTTCTTTAATTTAAAACACATTGAAAAAATAATTTGTTATTTGAATTTTTTTATTTATTGAATATGATAAAAAACCCTTTTAGGGTAAATGCACCAATTATTGACCGATTAAGGTTTTCTTTTTCTGTACTAAGCTATAAAAAATCTATTAACCTACTAAAAACAATTTGTAATGAATTTTATTAAAGTTAAATACTTAATTAATAATAATTAATAATTATTTATAATAAAAATTAACAAAATTATATTAATTTTGTTATTTGAATCTTGAAATACTAAAATCACCAATTATTGACCTTTTAAGTATTAACGACATCTTTAACAAAACTAAACATACAATATAATTTTAAATCGTACTTTTTTTATAAAATGATATAAATAATAGCAATAATTAACATAAAGTCACATTTCTTTAGATCACAAATAATCACAAATTCATTTTGATGACGATAATTCTTCTGATTCACTTAAAATTTTTTTATTCTTCTTCTTTTTTTCAATTAAAGCTTTTTTACTAGCTTATTGTAACTCTTTTTTATTTTTTTAATTGCTTAGAAATTTTTTCTTCTAATAATTCGTTCTTTGATACAACCGTTCACTAAAAAAATTAGAACAAAATAAAATTTAATAATCAAAAAAGATTTTTAAGTATTATTTTAATAATAAATATACATTTTATAATGATTATTTTTATATTTACAAAATATTGAATGACTAAAGTACTTTAAACACTTGACAGATTTAATTTTGAGGTTCAGAAGTTAGTATTATAAATATACGGTCATTAATTGGATTGTGATAAAATCAGAGGGTCTAATAAATGACCGAATGAATTTTTTACTGGGTAAAGGGCTTCTGATGGATCCAATAGTTGACCGATCTTAAAATAATATTAAAACTTATAATTTAACTTTATTTTTTCAAAAAAGTTGGAATTTGATCTTTAATTAACATAATAAAACTAAAATATTTTATATTATGCCGATAAATATCACTAAATTAATGATGAAATGCTCTCACTTTCCAATTGTACGCTAGTTATTTTTGACCGCTTTATGGCTGGTTACGTTGTAAACAAACTCAGAATATTTTTTTAAAGCTATAATCACTGCGCAATTAATTGCGTAATTTTTTATTATGATGATTAAATGCCATATTTTTTTATTTTAATACTTTAAGAAAAAAAAAAAACCCTTGTAAAATATTAATTAATTAACTTTTTTATACATCGGTCAACTAATTGGTGACCGGTCAACAACTGGTGCATTTACCCTATAATAAAGATACAATGTATTAATTATTTTCACCACTAGAAAAATTCTATAATCCATAACAAATGTTGTTTTGTTATTAATTTTATTTTTGGTACTTTTTTATTCAAAAATAATTAATGATTCTGGTCTAATTGAATTATCTATTAAGTTATGAGGTTTTAAAATAACAAAGTTTAATTTTTATTCCAAAATCTAAACAAATTTTTATTTACAATTGATAAATCATTTATTAAATTTTAATAAAATTCATTCAATAATTTTATGTTAAAAAATCATTTGTTAACAGTCAATAAAGCTTGTTCAATTCCATACGGAAAAAATATATACGACGTATATTTTTTATGTGCGACGTATATATTTTATGTGCAACGTATATATCTAGCGTACTTTTTTTTGCCTGCGTATATATTTTTTTTAGAAGGGGATATTAATAAATCTTTCTATCATTGTAAAAATTTAAAAATTTTATCAAACGAATTAATTTATCACAAAATGATGAGACTTTTTTTAAATAACGTTAAATTTTCTAGACGAAATTTCAAACTTATAAAATTTTTAAATTCAAAAAAACCTAATTTTTGAGAAACTTAATGATGTTAAGTTAAAAGTCTATTAACAGGATCTAAACTTTTCATTTTTTACCAAGAACTTAAGAGCTCTCGAGAAAAAAATTATTTTTCGAGTCTTTTCTTTGTTGAATCTCTTAAAAAAATTAACCATGACACTGCCTTTTAAAACTCTCTTGATCCCTAAGGGGAAGAGAAAGACTAATAGTTAACATTCTAAGGGCGGGAAAAAATATTTTCCCCGAATTTTACCAGGTATAAAGCCTTAGACCCGACATGAAGTTCCAACACATGCGAGCCAATATTAACATATGTGGATGTGGATATTGTATGTAATACACCAGTACAACCAATGAGCTCTCAATGTTTTCTACCGGCCGGTTTGAACACTAGCTATACAATATACAACCATAAATTCAAAGGCTTAGTCAGTTCGTAGCACTCGAGGTAAACGCTTCGATAGTGTTCATTCCATTACATTACATTTTACAATTTTTTTACGGTTGTCTGTACGTTTTAATTAAATTTATAATTTATTTTTATAAAATGAGTATCTTTTTCTGTGTTCTCGCTGTTTTTGGGCTGGCACGTAAGTCAAAACTTCATTTATTTTGACACTTCTTCTTATCACTTTTTTAATCAGCTAATTATGCGCTTTTAATTAAAGCTGACCACAGTTTTAAAGTATATTTTCTTGGAATACATTAAATATTCACCAGGAAAAAATGGAATTCTTTTTTGTCACGGCTTTAAAACAAATTGATAAGTTTGCATGGAGAAAAATGGTTTAAGTCGATATGATAAGTTTGTAATTATTTTCTCAAGGACGTATGATAGCTATTGCTTTGATAGATATTTATTATATTGTTTTTCCGATACCTACGAACTTTTATTGATGCATTGTTGATAAATATCTAACAAATATCTTTTTAAATTTTTAAATGTTTTTTTTTTAAATTTATTTTCAATTGAAATTACCAATTTTTTTTACAACAAAATGTTTTAAATTAAAAATTATTTTTTTTTACAATTCGATTTTACAGTTGTTTAAATTGGTAAAAAAAAATTAATAATTTTTAATGATAAATTTTTCAAAAATGTAAATTTTTTATAACAAAAAAATTTTTTTATTGAAAAATTGACATTTTTGATTTTGTTTTAACATTTTATTTTTGATAAGATTAAAAATAATTTTAAATATCATTGTTATGATTTTAAGCTTTAGGGACAGTGAAATTAAAAAATTACCAAAATTAAAATTTTTTTTTTTATATACACAGAAAGAACAATATTACACTGGATATCATCCTAGATTATACTGAGTGAAAAAAAAATTCAGATAGTATCTAGTATAATCCAGATTATAATGAGTATAATCCAGATATCACTCAGTATAATCTGGATTTTTTTAGCAACTATCTGAAGTTTTTTTCACCACAGATATCACTGTGTATAATTTGGGATGATATCCAGTGTCATCTTGTTCTTTCCGTGTATTAGTAAAAACATTTTCAAAATTTAATAAAAATAATTTCATTTCTATTTTGACTAAAAATTAAAAAACGATTTTTTTAAACCATTTTATTATAATTTAACTTTGAACATTTAAAATAAAAAAATTTACGAAATATGCCCTAATTGTCCTTAATTCAACATTTCCGTGATTCAGGATTTTCATTATTAATTTTTGAATTATTTATTACTTGACTAGCGCTGATATGCTAACATAGCGCGTCTAAATTACTGGGCGCCACAAAATGTGAGGTAAATTTGAAACACGATACTCATGAATCAAATAACAAACGGGGAAAATACTTAAAAAATTGTCTGATAGGCTTTTAAATTTCCTAGATGTGCATTTAATAAAAATTCTTTTTAGGAAGAAAAAAAAAAAGGGAAAAATTAACATTCAAAGTTTGAATTTACAAAAATGTTATTTTAAATGCAATTTTTCTAGTTTTTTATACAAAGCGACGCTTATTACTATTTATAGTGTAATTTTTACATTTTTTTTTGCTCGTACAATAATAATTCACTAAAAAAATTTTAATGTGATTTTGAACAATGAAAACTTCGTTTTTTAATAAACAAAAAATTATTAATGCAAAATTTTTTACTTTCACTATCCAAAAAAAGTTTTGAGTACTAAAAAAGTAAACTGAGAATTTCAGAGCAAAAGTAGGCAATAAATACATAATAATAATTAAAAAAGTTCAAACGAGCAATCGGAAATCGGGGATCCAAGATAAGAGGGTTAATAGTTAAAGTGACTACTCCAAGCCAAGCTAAACTTATAACTCATAAGTTATATGTTATACGTTGAAGTATGTGTTACATATAGTATTATACATAAAACGTAGATAGTTATATACAGCGTGAGTTAAAGAAAAATAGTGTATTCATAACAGATTGTGGCTGAAAAATGTCCAGATGTTATTTAGACTTTAAATAGAAGGTCACGTCTTTCGAGTATGAATCACTTTGACTGATTTTTTTAGAAGTTGGTTGTTATTATTTTTTTTTTTTTTTTCGGTTTTAATGTTTTCGCAGTAAACGTTTAAAGGGCCATTTAAAAAAATGTAATTTTATATTACTATGTACTCGGTTTTGTTGGAAAAGTCATTAAACTTAACTTATGGGTTTTAAAAGATGGTCCATTTAATGATTTTTTTAAATTAATATTATTTTAACGATTTATTGGGAAATTTTAATTATTAAAAAAAAATTTTTTTTTAATCTGAAAAATATCTGGAAATTGTAATTAAATGATAAAAATTATTGTCAATAATTATTAAAAATGAATTAAATATTAAAAATTATTGTTAATATGTTAAAAATCATTTTTAAAAATAAAAAATTATTCACACTTATTTTGAATTTGATAACAATCAAATTAAAAAAATTTAATTAAGTAAAATTAATAATAACCACTAAGGTGCGGCGACATAAAGATAGCAATTTTTATAAATTTGATTACACCACATAAAGACCGATGAGTATATTGACAATGACTCACAGAAGAATTCACGACGACTCAGCAAACATCATTATGATTAATATATTAAAAACTCATACACTTATAAGAAAAACAAAAATATGTACCGGCAAAATGCTTTTTAAATATTTATTGTTTGTTCACGTAAATCATTTTTTGGATAATCTTATTATTTGAAGTATTAAATGTGTGTACAGAGTACAAGTACTGCGACATCGTAATATTTTGTTTGAAAACGATTTTTTTCTCCGCTGTTCTTTCAAAATTTTTTTATTAATTAATCATATGTATTATGTTATTGCAAGTTATATTTTTCACTAAAAAAAATCGAGTTTAAAATTAAAATTTCAATTTAATTTGTTATAAACTGCAGTGATCTGAATTTTAAGTAGCTTAAATTTAGCAAGCCTTACGTGCAACCAAAAGACCCAAGTTCGACTCCTAGTCAGGATAAATAAACTTTTTCTTATAAAATTTTCTGTAACAAAAAATTAATATGGTGTTATAATCTACATGGGTGATTCTCTGTAAGGACGTCTTAAATCTGTACAAAATTGTCCGACCAAATTATTTTTGATTTTATTAGAAAAAAAAATCAACCAGGGCTACAAAACTATCAGTTTAATCATAATAAATAAACAGCCGATTTAATTTTTGCTTTTTCGATATTTGTGTATCTTTTGCCATATAACATCACAGAGGACTGTTTTTTTTATCAAATTAAGAAAAATCAAGCAAACTATTTCAATGCATTCAACTTTTCAAGTTCTCAATGAATGTTTACATTAATTAGAATAATATTAAGACTTATGGATCCAATTTTACAATTAAATTATAAATAAAAATAGTTGCCAGGGGACTGAGTTTTGAAGTGGCCCAGACACATATTTCCAGCACAAACGGTGCTTTGACACTAAATAAAATGCCGATAAAGCGCTAACAGCCCTATGGTTATTAACTCAAGGCTAGTTAGGTCCTTATAAACCTTACAAAAGGTAAAATAACACGCTGGATTTTTTTTTTGGCTTTGAACTTCTGGCAGGGGACTGTTCTTAAAATGCCTGGGACAAATTTTGGTTTAATGAATTTAATTAAACAAATTAATTTTCGGCACTTTTTATTGAAGAAGATTGTTAGTTAACTAATCAAGTTTATAAACATTATGGACCAAATTATATATTATGGACGAATAACTTAAAATTTAATCTTAAAGTTCTAATTTCGGGAATGGGACAGCTCAGGGGACTGTTATTTCAGTGGTTTACGAATTTATAGCAAAAAAACCAAAATTTATTTCATTTTAGTTTTCAATGCTCTAAATAGAAATGTTTTTTTACTTTTGTAATAAATTTTTTTTAGTAACAAAATAACAATTTTTCTAATAAAAAGTGCCTGGGACAGCAAAAAACATCCTTACAGAGAATCACCCATATAATTAAGAGAATAAGGAAATTTTGTCTTCAGTGTATATTTATATGATAAAATTAGTTTTTTTGATTAAATTTAGTTTCATTGAAAAAGCCGACCTAAATTTTTGCCTTTTCAAGGTTTTATATGCTTTTCAGTAATAGTTACCCGTGCAAAAAAAATCGTCTTAAAAGTGTCTTAAATATGTCGTCGCCAAAAACAGATTTTTGAAATTTGGTTTTCGAATTTATTGTGAAAATTAATTTTTAGACATTTTTTTTTACAATTTTGCGAGTTTTTAACTGCAACATTTTTGAGTACGCTCTTTTCAAATTGAATTTGAAATTGTTGAAAAATTATTATCTGAAAATTTTAAGAGTTCTTTAAGACGCTCCATATTAATGTTCCGAAGCTCTGTCGCTGTGAGCTCATCTTAAAATAATCTTTAAAAAATTTTTAAAGACTATTTTAAGATCCTTTTAAGACTATTTGAAGACGCTCCATAATAATTTTCCGGAGCTCTGTCGCTGTGAGATCCTCTTAAAATAGCCTTAAAACAATCTTAAAAAAATTTTTAAAGACTATCTTAAGATGAGTTCACAGCAACAAAACTCCCAAACATTAAAACCGAGCGTCTTAAAAAAGTCTTAAATTTGTGGAATAATTATTTTTCAACAATTTCAAATTCAATTTGAAAAGAGCTTATTGAAGAATGTTGTGATTAAAAATTTTCACAACAAATTCAAGAACCAAATTTCAAAATCTGCTCTCGGAATCTGTTTTTGACGTCTTAAAACAGTCTTGGTTTGTGTCACGTTTAAAATCTTAAACAAACAACATTTTTAAGACGATTTTTTTTTACACGGGTAATTTATTATAATAATAACCTATTAGATAATAATTTAAAGCTAATAATTTATTGTAAATTTGTTTTGGATTCTATTTAAGTATTTTGAACAAATATTACAGAGACCCTGTCACGGGCCAGTTGCCGTTCGGTTGTATACAAGAATAAATAAAAATAAAATACTCGATAAAATCAATGACTTTTAAAATTCAAATTGACATTGATAACTATAAAAATTTCTATTCTTAACTTCCACTAAAAAATTTTTCAATAACAATGTAAAAATAATATTGTTATAAAGTAAAAAAAATATATAGAGGTTTAACGTTCTTACACAATTGCTTTCACTGATGACCGTGGCGCAAATTTAATTAGTGGGTATCGATAGTAGATAGTGCACTAGGGCATATCAATTCCGATATACAATACGTGGTCGACATTCATACTTTATTTTATGTATTTATTTTCATTTATCCATATGTAAAAAGAGAGAGAGAGAGAGAGATAAGGAAAGGTTTTGAGTCATCAATTAAAATAGTAGAACAAAGAAAATAGTTAAAAGCCCCGGTATGTTATCGTTAATTAGACCTACGCTTGACTTTATTCTGTCGCATTGACTACGGTCAGTTTACTCTCATTTTCTCATTGGTGTTTCGTGTTATAAATGAAAGTCGTGTGTTAATTGCTAAAAATTCAAATAGATTTCTTTTTGTTTTTTTAGCTCAATGCTAAATTTTTTTTTTCACACTTTTTTGTTTAACTTATAGAAAAAAATTTTTAATCTTAATCCATGCGACAGCTTAATTTTTAAATTCAGTAGAATTTATTAATTTAAAAATTTTTTTTTTATTTTTTATCAAGTTTTTATTTTTTTTTTTTTACACAAAAAATAGGTAATTTTTTAGTTTCACTGTACGATATTTAAAATTTTTATTATAATTACATTTTTTATGGTTTAAATAAAAATAGAATAATTAAAAAAAAAATTTTTTTTTAAATGATAAAAATATTATTTTTTTTTTTTACACTCGGAAGACAAAAAATACTATCAATAATTCCTAGACTTGTATTTTTATGATTATGATTGTAAATCTCCGTGATATGAATTAATTTGAAAAAAAATTTTTTTTTATTAAAAAAAATGAATAATTTTAATTAGAGTAAATGCACCAATTATTGACCGATTAAGGTTTTCTTTTTCTGTACTAAGCTATAAAAAATCTATTAACCTACTAAAAACAATTTGTAATGGATTTTATTAAAGTTAAATACTTA